CCGTGCTTCCTCTCCCTGCTGCTCATTAGCGCTCCGATTAATCAGCCCCCCCTCCCCTTTCCCCCGGGACAAGTGCTCCCTCCCCTCTGAAGGCACATGCTCCCACACACAGCTTTTCCTTACCCCCTCCTAATATCCCTTCCCCAAAGCTCATACGGTTCCTCTCTTGCCACCCCTATCCCTGGAGGGCACATGCTAATGCTCCCAGGCCAGCCCACATGCTTCTCCCATCCACAACTGCTAGCGTGCCTCCCTCACCCCACATCAAGATAGCCCATCCCATCGGGTGTTCCCCTGCTAGGCTTTGGGTCATGGCATATTTCTAAGCTTGACCATCTCACCAACACAAGTATTCCCCCCTCCACCCCCGCCCCACCTCGGCTGTACCTGGCATTGGTGTGATTTTTTTAAACCTTAAGATGCTGTGATAGTTCCCTAGTGCCGCCACAGTTCCGAAGACAGCACCCTCCACACCCCAAAAACGCTTAAAAAGCATTTTCATCTTACCACTTCAATCCCACACCCAACACTCTCTCCACAGAAGTTTCTCCTCACTTCCCCAAGGGAGACCGGCCAAAGACATCTACATCCACATCCACACCCCCTCATCCAGGTAGGACCTCTGCTTCACTCTCTACCTGAGCCTAGGCAGCACTCTCACCAGCCTTGCCATACCATCTGGGGAGGCAAGGGAGTCACAGCTGCTGCCAGTCAGCAGGGAGGACCCCCTCTGCTGCTGCTGCCTGTGAGGGTGTGGGGACTTGGGGAGGGAGGGGAGGGCCGGAGCTGGAAGAGACCTGACTTCTCTTGGGGCAAAGCATTTGTAGCCAGAACCTAAAGGGAGGGAGCCTCAGGGAGGCGTAGAGGAGCTAGTGCGGGATTCCGTACCCTCTTTCCTCCTCTCAAGTTCATGAGCTATTCAAACAAGTGGCTCAGGTGAAGCAGCTTGGGAAGCTGAAAATAGGGCAGCTGGGTCAGATGCAAGGCCAGTGGTAGTCGTGGAAGCAGTAGAGATGTCAGGTAGTCCACAGTGGACCTGGGTGGGGCCTGCGGAGTGGTGCTCATCCGTGAACTAGCGTGGGGGCTGCTCAGGGCCACGGCCTCAGGCCCAGCAGGGAATAAAGAGAGCAGGGCCGAGCTGGGAATCTGTCATGTGATTGGGAGTGGGGGTGGGTAGGACGCACCCTGTGGCCGGGGGCGCAAACAGAGTTTGGGGGTCCTGAGTGAGGTGGGGGGCAGAGCGGACTCCCCAGTACTGGGCTGGGGTCCGCTCCCGCCCCTGGCGCTCCCCTCCTCTGGCCCGGCTCCTGCTGCCCGCCCGCCCGCCGGTGAAACGCTGTTGACATGTCCTGAATTATTAAGCGCGGGGTGGGCTTCGGAGCACATGCTGAGCGGCGCGGGCTGAGCGGCGTGGCGGAGCGAGCGCTCGCAGGGACACACGCAGGGGCTGACAGCTGTGCTGCTGCTGATAAGCGAAGCCACAAGGAGACGATCGAGGAGAGAGACAAGCGGCGGCAGCAGCCAGGGCTGCAGGAGCTGCTGGGAGTGTGAGCAGCTCCCCTCCCTCTTGCCCCCCTCCCCCTCCTCGGCGGGAGTTTGGAGGAGCTACTGCTGTCCCTACCACTTGGGGAGAAGAGCCCGGGCTGCTAGGCGGGGAGGGGACAGCGGGTAGGGACTCTCTGGACGGCCAGGTCCAAGCAGCCAGGGCAGATGCCTATCGAGATAGTGTGCAAAATCAAATTTTCCGAGGAGGATGCAAAACCGAAGGAGAAGGAAGAGGGGGACGAGCAGAGCCTGTTGGGGGCAGCATGCCAGGGGCCGCCCCCTAGGGACCTGGCCACCTTTGCCAGCTCCAGCACCCTGCACGGCTTGGGGCATGCCTGTGGCCGGGGGCCTCGAGGGCTGCGCAGGATCCTGTGGGCACTGGCCCTTCTGGCCTCCCTGGCTGCTTTCCTTTACCAGGCTATGGGCCTGGCCCGTAGCTACCTGGCTCGGCCTCACCTGGTCTCCATGGACCCAGCCGGGGTAGCCCCTGCCCTGGGCTTTCCTGCCGTTACCCTTTGCAACATCAACCGCTTCCGACACTCTGCTCTCAGTGATGCTGACATCTTCCACCTGGCCAACCTGACGGGGCTGCCCCCTAAGGACAGAGATGGACATCGGGCAGCAGGCCTTCGATACCCCGAGCCGGACATGGTGGACATTCTGAACCGCACTGGCCACCAGCTGGCTGACATGCTCAAGAGCTGCAACTTCAGTGGCCACCACTGTTCCGCCAGTAACTTCTCTGTGGTGAGTTCCACCAGCTGGCTTGCCCCTGGCACTAGAAGGGGCAATCTGGGTTGGGGTGGTAGAATGGGGTGGGTGTCCTGGATCAGGATTCCCCATTTACTTTGCCACCAGAGTCCTTGCTTGGTGTCTCCCCTGGGCTTAGAGGTCCCTCTCTCCGCTCTGTAGGCACAGAGCCACAGCTGTGGAAACATCGAGGGACTTACCATGTTCTTGTTGCTGTTGCCACTGCAGCACTGCCATGGTTTGGAGGGGGCCTCCTGGTGCCAGGGGGCTTTTTCAGGGCATGCTTGCACTGAAGGGATGGGGCAGCTCCTGGCTGGAGCACTGTGGGAGGCTTCCAGGTCCTGCCACTCAAGAGAACATTCTCTTTCCAAAAAGTCAGGGTCTGTGTCTTCTCCATTCTCCCCCCCCCCCCCGTTTTTTCCCCTTCCCTGCCTCTTGCCCCCCCCCCCCCCCCCCAAGTATCATAGTCAAAGGTTAGGAGCTCAAGGGATTGGGAGAATGCTACTATGGAAGGGTTTAGGGTGGCATCTTGTAGAGCTGGCATGGGCAGCACCTAGGAGGACCTTGTGGACATTTACACAGTGCCAGTGTCTTCTCTCTTTCTCTTTCACACACTCTCCCTTTCATGTTGTCCCCCATGCTCAGCTCTGGCTTTTTCACTCTTTGCCACTGACAGTTCTTTCCCTCTTATAGTCTCTCTATGGCTCTCACACTCCGGCTCACTCATTCATTCTAAGGTGCACAACTCCCCACCCCACCCCCTCCAAAAAGATCCCTTATTCTGGCCACAGTTTCTTACACGGAGTGGCTCTTACACACACTACTACATTCCTGTGTGCTGGGTTTGATGTGTACCCCACATGGATTACTACTCATCTCCATACTCTGTCAGGGTCTTTAAAAACAGGAACAGGGATGGTCATTCCCTGACTGTCATTCCCTTACAATAACCATGATCTCTCTCAACTCACTCTACACGTCAGGATCTTATACACACACACAGCAGACTGGTGAAGATGTCTCTGTATGTGCACATACACAGACGCAGACACCTCACACTGGGAGTTTTGATCTGTGTTTCTTATGTATGTACACACACCCCGTAGTGTCCTACTGATGATGCATGAAAGCCCTTTGCCCACTTGTTCATGTATGTCTGTCACACATAGAATCAGTGATGCCTTCACCAACATTCACATGGTATCTGATATTTTGGGTGCCAGTGTCTCAAGCCAAGAGTCTGTGTTCAACTCACACCATGCTCTCTGTATTTTTCCCCCTGTTTTTACTACCCAGTGTCCACACACACACACACACACACACACACACACACACACACACAATCACTCTACTGCCACTGAATCAGCCACAAGATGGAAATGCAGATGGTAGTAGAAGTAGGGTTCTCCATGAGGTTCTCCACACAGACCCTGCTTCAACATCAATAGGACACATGCCCCAAATAGACTAATGTATCCTATCATGGTTGCAGTCAAATTTGGACTCCTCCACTGCTATCCAGAGGGGACTATGTGCCATGGGACAATTCTGAATAGGGACACAGATCAGAGATGTCAACCTTCTTGACCATGGGCATAAGCTGAGGCAGCCACAGGGAAGAAAGGACAATGGGGTGGGGGAGGAGGAGAGGTTTGTTAGGCAGAGAGTGGGTATAGAGTGGACAAAGGGGATATCCCTGCTTCGGGTGGGGGATATGAAGAATGAGCTGGAAAGGGGCTGTTCAGGGAAATTGAGGCAGCATGCTAATCCCTGAGCCTTATCTCTCTGCAGAGACTGGGAAAGATCAGAAGGTGGGATATAGAGTTGGGAGGGGGGGAAAAGGGGGGGGTCCCAATTCCCTGCGAGGTCCCCCCCCATTTTTTCCCCCCCCGGGGGAAGGTTCCCTTGGCCCCCCCCCGCCCCCCCCCCCCCCCACAAATCGGGGAGGAGCAGAGACTGGTCCCAGCAGGTGCTGAAGGGGGCCAGAAATCAATGGAATCTTTGTGCCTACTGAGCGGGAGTTTGTATCTCAAGGCCTGAGGGGGATGGGAGGGGGGAAAGGGAGGAAAAGGAAAGGGAGGGGGAACCAAAGAGGGAAGATAGGAGAGGAGATGAAGAAGTCAAGGGGAGAGAGACAACTGGAGTAGAGGAGGAGGGAGAGAAAGAGGTGAGGAGAGAGAGGAGAGGAGTAGAGTGGGAGGGAAAGGAAAGGAAGGGAAAGGCAAAGACAGAAGAGAAGAAGGAAGAAGGGAGGGAGAAAACTGAAGGAATGAGGGAGAACAAGGAGAGATTTTTTTTTGCTGTTCTCTGGGAAAGGAGAAGTGGCTAGAGCATTTGGAAGCAGGGGTATCCCCTATTTAGGGTCAAGGAAGCCCATGTGAGGAATTCCTTTGACTCTTAGGTCTGGTCAGGGTGAAAGTGATGGGGGAGGGTTGTATGGAGGGTGTATTTCTTTTGGGTCCTTTTGATATTGGATCATCTAGTGACATGAAGATCATGGGAGTTTGCAGGAGTGGCTACAAGACTGTAAGGCCTGGATGACAAGTGGCAGACATGTAGGGGAAAGCCCATTCACCTTTGGAGATCCACTGTCTCTTAGCACTGTTTTCCTCCCTCTCCACTCCCCAACCCCATTCTCCTCTCTTTTAGAACTGGAAATCCTGAATCTGAGCCTGATTTTCACATTGGTAGGAAAATTATGGGATCCGTGATGGGGATTGATCAGTGACAATTATAGCCTCTAGAATGGGCATGGGTCCATAATGGGAATGGGGTCTGTGATAGGGATGGATCTGTGAATGATGAAGGGAGGTCTGATATTGATTGGAAACTGTGCAGTGAGATGGGTCAGCCAGTTGGAGAAATGGGTACTAGAAGGGGGTTATTGTCCTGTTTTTTTCTCTTCCCTTCCTTGATCCCTCCTTCCCCCCTCCCCACAATGCTGTGACCTTTCCTCTGGAATCCAAGCTAATAAATGTCACATTTTCCAGCCTATTTTTACTTTGGGTAATGCTCCCTCCCCCAGTCCTCTTCAGCTGCTGCTCTATCTAGCTGCTGCTACCACTTCAATCTCTCACCCCCACACTTTGTTACCTCCCCCACTCCCCCAACTCATTTCCCATCTCCCCACTTACTTTTCCCCTACATCTCCCCTCACACACTTTTACCTGTTCTCACTCTTACCCATAATCGCTGCTACTTACTCTCCCTATGTAGTCTTCTCCAAACACTCTCAAGCAATGAAGGAGGCACCAGATATTTACCAAGCATCCACTACATGCAGGAGCCCCGTGCCAGACACTCTGAGGGACTAAAAAAGAAGACATAGTCCCTGCCCTCAGGGAGCTTACAGCCTACATGAATCCTAAGTGAAATAACAATGAAAGACAACAGATGGTAGAGTATAAGCGATGTCATGAAGCAGTTTATGATTAATCACCAAATGACGTTGACACTCAGTAAGTGCAATGAGTTCAGAGAAGGCAGAGATCTTGTATAGGTTGGGAAGGCCTGGGAAAGGTTCACCGAGGAGGCAGAAGAACCAGCTGGGCCTTGGGGGATGGAAGAGATGGGGATAGGCAGACAGGAAATCTCTTTCTGGGTAGGGGGGAGGCTTGAGAAAATGCTTCCTCCCACTCTGACACTCAGCTCTTTTTACTCTTCCCTTTTACTAACAAGGCATAATTCCAATGGAATCTACCCTCTGTCCATTGCTCCTTCAGTGACTTCTATTGCTTGCCAAATATCAGGATGGGTTTGGTGGAGGGACTGTTGTTTGCGTTGGGGTGAGACTGAAATTTAAGGTATAATAATAATACTAAACATTGATATAGCACTTTCTATGTGCCAGGCACATAAGCTGTGTGCAATTATTATCTCATTTGATCCTGATAACTCTAGGAGATAGGTGCTATTATTATGGTCCCCATTTCACAGGTGAGGAAACCTGAGGCAAACAGGGTTAAGTGACTTGCCCAGGGTCACACAGCTAGTAAGTGTCTGAGGCTGGATTTGAACTCAGATCTTCCTGACTCCAGGCCCAGTGCTCTGTGTACTATGGTGCCACTTACCTGCCCCTGCAATCTATGCCTGGGAAGATGGTTGAATTTGTGCATGCCAGTCCCTTAAAGCACATTCCTAGGACTCAGTCAGGATTCAATAGGTATTTTTAGAATTAATAAATCAAACAATAATGATAACACCACCTTTTCCTCCTATCGTACTTCAAGGTTTGCCAAACATTTTCCTCATCACAGCCCAGTAAGGTGGGTAGGGTACCACATATCATTATACCCATTTCATGGATGAGGAAACTGAAGCAAGAGAGGCCCAGTGACTTGCCAAAGGTCCCATAGTTAAGAAGAGGTGGAGGAGGTATTGAAACCCACGTCTGCTGACTTCAGTACAATATTCTTTCTGTTGCGCCACGCTATCTTTTCAAGGGAAGCTAGGTGGTATAGTGGACGGTGTGCCAGGCCTGGAGTCAGGAAGACCCAAGTTCAAATCCAGCCTCAGACACTCACTAGCTGTGTGACCCTGGGCAAGTCACTTAACCTTGTTTGTCTCCATTTAGTTGTCTGTAAAATTAGCAGTATCTCTGTCAAGAAAACCCCAAATGGGGTCATGAAGAGTCAGACCTTACTGAACAAGTCTTAAAAGATAGATGACTTCCAAATTTTTAAGGAGCCCGGTCCATGGCTGGACCAGCATTCTAATCTCTGAGATCCGTTGACGTTGCCTTCAAGAACATAGGGTCACTTCTGCATCTTACTGAGGCCTTGGAGTAGGACTAAGAGGGCCAACTCACAGCAATGACATACCTCTACCCAGAATTTTACACTTAAAATTTACACCTAAATTATATCATCTAATTCTCATAGCTACTCCATGGCACAAGTATGATGTTCATTTTGTAGATGAGGAAACCCCAGCTGAAGATTGGGTGCCCTGCAGGGTCCATACCTCAACAGAACAGCAATGAGGGATGGAGCTTTAGACCTAATCTGTGTCAGGTTTCCCAGGAGGGTAAAAGTTTCATCAGTGTGGTGATGGACTCTAACATGGGGAAATCTTGTAAACAAGATTTTGAGGGGCTTGGGGGTGGGGTGGACTTCTCTTGGTTTTAGTTTCTATAGCCATAAAATGAGGGGGTTGGATTAGATGGATGTAAGTTCCTTTTAGTTTCTGAATGATCCTTTTCCTTAGGTGGGAAAACTGAGGCAGGGAGCAGAGTGAGTTTCTCAGAAGTGATGAGTTCACAATCAATGTTAGAACCAAATGGACTCTGGAGTGGGGTGGGGGGGGGGGGGGGTCAACAGATCTAACCCATTTTACAGATGAGAAAAATAGAGGCTCAGGAGAAGCAAAGTGTTTTGCCTAAGGTCAGCTGGCAAGTATCCCAGCCAGGATTAGAATCCAGGTCTTAGGACTCCAAGAACTGCCCTCTTAGTATGTTATTGGAGGCTAATCAGACACCAGCTAGGGCAAGAGAAAAAGCTGCCTGCCTCTTTTTTCCTCCCTCCCTGACTAGGCCCCCTTCCTACCTACATTCTTTTACTTTCCTCCTTTGACTGGCATGACTGTTAATCACTCACCTGGTTCTCCTTCCTCTCTGCTAATCAGGCACAATTAGACAAGGCCACTTCCAGCTGGGCAGTGCCCTGTGACTCCCCCTCTTACCATAGGCTCCTTCCCCCACCTTTCAGGTCAGCTCCAGGACAGAGGAGACTGACGCCTGGTTTGGGGCCCTTCTCCCCCAACTTTTAGGTCCCCTAAGATCTCAATTTCTTTCTTTCCTCTGTATGTCATTCCATCGGGCAGCCTTAGACCCTCAACCTCAGGCCAGCATTGAGACAGAATGTCTGACTCTCTGCCCTGTGTTCCCTTTTACTACCCTAGACCTTACCGCCTTTTCCTGGTCCCCCAATATCCCTCTGCCTTCCCCACTGAGGTCTGCTGGATGCCAGACAGGGATGCAGAAGGCTGCTGGGCCCTGCCTGGTCTGTCAACCTGTCCGGCTGCAGCTTTTTTTCCAGGTCCCTGTTTTCTGCTGGATGCTGTCCCCTCCCTCCCCAGCCAGTCCCTCCCCCCTTTCCCTCCAGGGATGCTGCCTTCACTTTCTTGGATCCTTCTCTTTGCTATAACCCCAGCTGCACTCACCCCTCTTTTATGGGGCTCCCTGCCAGGGTGGGATGGGGGTGGCATCTTTTGAAGGGAGTCAAACACCGAGAGTGACCCTATGAGGTCTGGATTCCTTATTGTTGGAGGGGATCAGGGACTGGAGGGAGACCTGCCTCAGAGGGTGGGAGGGGGCCCTGCGGAGCCAGCCCTGACTGGGTCCCACTCTGCAGAGGCCCCCGCCGGCCTCTTCATTAATCAGGAATCAACCGGGAGCCCAGCTCATTATCAGCTCAGCTCCTCTGTGGAGCTGCCGGAAGACGCTGATTAGTGTTTGTAGCAATGCTCCTGGACCCCCGCCCCTGCTCCATGTCACTCCTTGCACTGCTCCCCACCTGCTCCCCCCCCCCGCTACTTCCTGTGCAGAATTAACTACCCAAATTGTCTCCACCCAACCCCCCTCACCCCACCCCACCTCCTCCCACTGCAGTCCCAGGCCTGATTTGTTAGTAACATTATAAGATCTGGGCTCGGGGGCAAAGAGGATCGGGTTGGGGGTTGGAGTGGAGCTGGAAGGCTGGGGCGGGGGGGAAGATTTAGCTTGGAGGAAGGAGCAAGGTTTTGGCAGGGAATACTCAGGTCCCGTCTGTGATTTGGTATCCAGTGACGCAGGGCAGCTAGGCTGCGGCCGCTCGGAATCATATCTACTGGGGGCTGGGGGGGTGGGGTGGCCAGTGGCTTCCAGGAATGAGGGAATGAGGGGGAGCCCAAGGCCCAGGGAGAAAACCTGTGGTTCCAGCTGCTTCCTGAATGACGAGGATGATGGGGCTTCCGTCAGCCAAGTATTCCCCAGTCCATCTCTGAGTCTCTCTGATCTGTCCAGCCTCCTGCCGGGCAATAACCAGGAGGGAAGGAGGGTGGTGGCTTGAGCCGTAGAGGCTGGCCCAACGAGGGGGTGGGGGTGGGGATTGAGTAGGGAAAAGACCTACCTGGCATCTCCCATGATCAAGGCAGGGTCAGTTTGGGGTGCTTACACTCAGCAGGTACAGTCATTCTGGGCTCTTTCGTGGACCCACCATCCTGAGGGAGGGAGGATGAATCTGAGAGAATGGATGATGGATCTGGAAATGAGAGGGGTGGGGAGCATGTGGGTGGGTCTCTGTGTGGGGGTGTGGGGTAGGATGGAATGTAAGGGACCCCGTTAGGATGGAGACAGGTAGATACTTCATGCAGGAAGGGTATGGGTGAGGTTTTTAGGGATGAGTGTGGGCTGCGATCTCTTTTTTTCCCCTCCCCAGTGTTAAGGATTGGGAAACTAGGTCTCCCCAGATGAGTGTGGAAATCCCTCCCCACCTGCCCCGGCCTTTTCATGCCCCACTGTGGCCTGAAGATACACAATTTTGGCTATCCAGGTTGGAGGGGGGGAGCAGCCCCAGCCCCAGGGAGAGAGACAGGCTGCAGTGAGTGAGTTCAGGGAAGAGCCACGGGATGATTAAGAGGAAATGGAGGATTGATTTAGGAGGAAAGATTAAAGCAGCTAAATCCGTGGCGCTTGGCTCAGCGGTGACTAAGCGTGGACAGGATAATAGCTTACAAATGTGTGAAAGGTGTAAATACCAGGCAGGGGGAGGGGAAAGAAAGCGGCTTGGCTGGGTGGGGGAACAGAAGGGACTGGGAGCCATCTTCTGGGGGGGCAGCTTCTGGACCTGTGGCCCTGAGATGGGTCAAAGGGGATAAGACTAGCAATCAGCTTGTGTAAGAGAAGGAGAGACAGTTCTCTGGGCTGGGGAGATAGTGGGAGCCCTGGACAGAGCTGCTTCCCAGTAGGGGGGTTGCCAAGTGATTCCAGCTGTCCGCCACCTTGGCCTCTTGACCTCATGAGCAAATGAAGGGAGCCCTGGTTCGAGAAGCTGGACGAAAATACTTATCCTCCCTCTTGCCTTGTCCTCCTCATCCCCATAGCTCCCTTATGAACTCCAAGATCTCTGTCCTTTCCTCTAGTCCTGGCCTACCTCTTCTCCCCCTTACTCAAACCCCCTCCCCCCACCCCTACACCCTGGTGTCTGCCCTGCCCCCCCCCTTTCCCCTCCGCCCCCTCTCCCCCCCCCCCCCCTTGGCCCCCCCCCCCCCCCCCCCACTGGCCGCTGTGGAAGCCTCTGGCGCTTCTTGATCGGAGGTCACTTTGCTGAGGAGCTGGGAGCCTGGGGAATGCAAATGAGGTAAACCCAGAGAGGAGAGAAGAGAAGGAGAGGAGACAGGAGGGAGGGCGCTGCATGTGTGATGGATGTATGCCAGACCATGTAAGTGTACAGGAGAGAGGGGCACAGTAAGTATGTGTGTAGGGCTGAGCGGGCGTTAGGCATGCTGGCTTGAATGGGAGCAGGACTGAGTGGATGGACCTAGGGGTGTGGGCTTATAGGGGGAGTGGGGCATTCTTAGGTATGGGTGTCATTAGCGGGACTGAAGTTTTGCTGGGCTGTTATGTGGGACTATGTGGATGTGGGTGTTGTATAAGGTTGAATGAATGTAGGGGTGTGGGGTTGTGTAAGTGTAGTTGTGTAGAAAATTATGTGGGTGCTGGGGCACGGAAGTATGTGAGTGTGGTTGTTGAGGCTTGCATGAGTTTAGTTGTATAAGGCTAAGTGGGTTCAGAGGGGTAGGGCTAGGTGCATTCAGGGATGAGTGGTTGTGTGGGTACAGAAGGATCCTGGACTGACTGGGTGCTGAGGGGGTTAGGGTGGTGTGTGTGTTTAAGGCTTAATAAAAATGGGAGTGTGGACAATCTTGGGAGTGAAGATTCCCAAAATGGAATCCTGGCACTCCATCTTGCCCCTGTACTCTTTCCATGCTATTACCTCCAAGAAGCAGAAGGGGACACACCTTTCTCTCTTGAAGGACAAACTATATCCTACCCTAGATGGACCCCAAAGTCTCCCCCATGGTCAGCCTTTCCTCTCACTGACCTCATTTTGCACAGTCTGACATACTGAAGGTGGCTGGTGAACAACCTAAGTAGGGTGAGTGAATTTCAGAAAGGGGATCATTTAGAGGAGAGGTCAATGTGAAGAAAATGGATTTTCTCAGCTTAATAGTAGCTTTGAATTTGCAAGGAACTCTTCACTCCACAAACCCCATCTACTTCCCTACCTCCATCTTGGAGATCACAGGCCAGTCCTTGGGTCCATCCATCTTAATCCTAGGATACCTCATTCCCCTGTCCCCTAATTTCTTGGCTGGCTCTAGTTGGGTTTCACTGGAGTCAGCTTGGATGTAAACTCTATCTGCCCCTCCCCCCCCATCATCATCATTGTCATCTTTTGTCATCTTCACCCTCTGATTTTCCTACTCAGATTTCCAGTTCCCACTTCTCTTTTCTAAAGCTCACTTTGCAGGTAACAATAGTGCTCCTGCTACTACTCATAATTTACATGTGTATGAAAACAAAGACAGTTTCTTCCAAGACAAAATTACCCCCATGGGGGTGGGGGGCCCATTGGGAGGAAGAAGGCAATTCTTTTCCTTAATATTGGGGGATATTGGGGTAAAAACTGAGTGTATGTGGGTATATGGGGCTGTGAATATGGATGGAATCCTTCTCTGCCTGGATGGATGATGAGCATGTTGGAAAAGGAGTTCCTGTCAAGGATTGGTGTCATTTAAACACTAGACCCAGATGTATCTTGGGAAGGGTGTTAAGTCCTCTCACTGTAATTAAACACCTCATCCTTTATTCTGATCAGCCTTATTCTCTTGAGTTCTCCTGTCTGTCCCCAGAGAAGTGGCAAAAATGAATTGGGGATGAGGAGAACTGGGGATCTGGAAAGCTCAAAAAATCTTAGGGACCCCATCTGCCCAGAATCTCAACTCAAAGGTGCCTAAAATCCTCACTCCAACCCAAAGGAAAAGGTGAACATACTGCCACCCCCACCCCACCCCCAAACCTACCATTCCTATTCCTTACAGGTCTGAAGGATTTAGGCCCCAGAGCTGGGGAGAGAGAGTGAGGGTCAGAAGCCAAGAATGGGTGCAGCTGGATCCTTGATGGCGGCACTGGGGCTGGGGGCAACTAGAGAAGTATGAGCTCCTTGGCTGAGGCAGAATGCCCAGAAGGCAGCTGTGATAAAGCCCAGCCAGAAGATTAGCTCTGGGATTAGCCCAGTCTCTGCAGCTCCCTGGCTGCCTCTTATCTCCAGGAGGTTCGGCCCCCTCTCCCTACCAAAGCTCTGAGCCCTGGCCCCACTAATTGCCTGTTAACCCCGTGGGCACTGTGACTGAAGGGAGAGAGAGGAGGCGGGACATTAGGAGAGCGAAAGCTCCACTGAGGGCACAGTGCAGAGGGAGCTTTCCTGGGAAATGGGAGCCCAGTGGATAGATAGAACCCAAGGGACTGATACAGCCGTGCACTGAGTTTAGCTCAGGACAGATCTCTCCAGATCTCAGATTACTATCTCTTGTTGCAGAGTGGGGAGGAGGGAGTTGGGAGGCTGGGAAATGTGCCTGGGCTGTCAAGGGGAAGAAGGGAGGAGTGTCAGATACCGAAGGGCACAGGCTAACGGACAGAATTAGGAAGGTGGACAGGCAGAGGCCAGGGGGTCACACAGACAGACAGACAGCAGAGGACCAGAGGCCAGGGAGACAGACAGAGCAGAGGTTCATAAATCAGAGAGACAGAGAGCAGAGGGTCAGAAATTAGGGTTAGGGAGCAGACAGAGAGCAAGGATATGCAGTGGCAAAGGAGAGACAAGTAGGAGAGAGATGTATGCAGAAGGAAGGAGATGATGGTACATACTGGAAGGCGAGGGAGAGAGAGATGAGAAATCAGAGGAAGTGAGGACAGTGACCAGGGAACTGATGGGGAAGAGAGGATCATTTGACTTGGGCTCCATTTTTCATCCACTGGCACAGGACCTTGTACCAGCACCATCAACTCCTTTGCTTCACCCTCCCCCTCTCTCCATCCCCCCCTCCCCATCCCAACCCTGGGCAGTCTGTGGCAAAGGAGACAAGGGCAGCCACTGAGATCTTGTGGGACGGAGTGGCCGTGCCGTCTCCATGGAAGAGGCAGCTGGGCTGTGCTGCCACCGGAGTTCTGCCACTTAGGAGCTGGTGGCTCCACCCGCTGCCCAAGCCGCCCCGGGGGCTGTTTCCGGGGCAACGATGTGGTCTGCCTGGTAGTCAGTATCTTGTGGGGGGGGGTGGGGGCTGGACGGGCAGCTTGGCCTGTCCAGCTCCTTCCCTGTAGACTCCCCTTCCCTGGCCCCTCTCTATCCACCCCCACTTCTCTTTCAATCCATTTCCTCCAAGATAGAGGGAGGTGGTGCTGGGGGTGGG